AAAGCAGAAGAATAATCTGCATGCATCTGCTGCTCTGTCTGCTAATGAACTCTGGAGGTTTGTAACAAAGCAACCAGAATCCAGCATATTCCTTTGCTTCCTTCTCTCAATAAAAGTCATAATCTACATGCGTCCCACATTACTCTCATTTATCTTGTAGAATATCACATCCTCATGCTTCAAACTTCCTCCACCACCAATCCCTGGTTGGGTTTCCTCTTCAACTCATCAGGGATTTTGATGTTATCAGTTCAGCTTATAACGAGTCAGCAAATAAAAAGACTCCATTTTGCAAAAGAACCAGTGAGGTAACATGATCTGGACCAAAGACACCTCTAGGCAAGGCAGCTTTATTTGTATAGCACATTTCAGACACAGACAATTTAATGTGCTTTCCATTAGCAAGAATAGCATGAACGTTGAAATCAACGTGATAGCACAAGTATACACAAATACATTTAGATCAAACTAAATACACAAGTTAATTTCAGATTTAAGAATCAGAAAAAAGACTAAAGGGTGAGCAGTTACAGTGCAGAACGTGAAACGTGTGAAATATTGATTCAATGGCTGATGAAAACATGAAAGTTTGGATTTAAAAGTTACCAGGTTGGGTCACATTTGAGGTCATGAGGGAGCTGAATCCATCTGGGAGCAGCATAGTAGCTAAAAGCAGCTTCACCCTGTTTGGTTCTGATCTGCGGTTCTACCAGCTGAAGGATCTCAGAGCCCTGCTGGCCGTATATACAGGAAGGAGATCTGACATGTATTCTGGCAGTATGCCACTGAGTGATTTATAAAGTAGTAGATGCACTTTGAAATCGATTTTATACTGAACTGGTAACGAGTGTAGAGATGTAAGAACCAGAGTGATGTGCTCGGTTCTAAGGTTCTTGCTTTAATAAAAGCTGGATTTAACTGTTCAGTAAGACAGATGCTACTGAGCTGTGATCGGTCAAAGTGATCTAAAAACGCTGATTTGCTTTAATGGTTTCCTGCTTCAGTTGAAATTGTTTCCATCTGCAAATAAAAACAAACACACAGACTTCTTCACCCACCCTCTGACTTTTTTTTTGAGATTATGCTCGGCCTCCTTACTGTTAGACAAACCTATAACCTCATTCAGAGCACTAAACCTGACTTACTGACTGCACTACACACACACACACACACACACACACACACACACACACACACACACACACACACACACACACACACACACATAAAACCTGCAGCTCTAATAAAGGCTACACACTCTAACACACTCCTCTGGCCCATGCACTGACATGGTTTCCACTTGCCACGTAAACCCCCTCTCCTCTCCAGCTGTTATTCACATGCACTGCACCCCCGAGCACTCCTCTTCCTCCTCTTCTCCTACGTAACTTTCCAAATGTCCTCTGCTCATCTAACTTTGAGCTTGACATGCCGAGAGAGAGATAAAACAAATCAAATCCAGGGCTTTGACGACGATATGAGATTCCTGAACCTTGGGATCAGCAGGTGATCCTGTTTGCGTTTGGGTTTGTTATGACAACATGTCTCTTCATCTGTCGCTGTCATCTGACAGCAATTTGCAATCACAAGCAGACTATCAGCAGTCAATCCAGACAGCCTATTTATAAACTAGGGAGGAGATATTACGCCTCTCTTTGAAATCATCAAGAAATGGATGTGAGGCAGCCAATATGGGCTGTTCCAGTCACATGGGGGTCAATTTTAAATCTTAAATGGCAAATATATCTTGACTGAATCTTTACTCTAAATTTCTGACAGATACATTCCTGCATTTAAAAAAATCCACACAAAAAGCTATTAGAAATCCAAGATCAAGTAATTAGCTGTGCCGGTGTAAGCGTGTGATGTTCCTCTGCCTTACAGGTAAACATAGCTGAACTTCTAACCGCTTGCAGTTGTGCGGTGGAAAGCTACATTCTTCTTTTTGGCACAGAGGCTCAGGAAACTCTTATGGTAGACCTGCACCATGTAATTATGGAGCCCGTAAGCTGCAAGTACAGCACAAATTCACCACAATCTCACAGCACTTTTTTGTTCCTGCTGTCCTGCTATAAAAGAGACACATCAGAGTTTAACCACAAGTGTCCATGACGGGAACAGCAAATTAATGTGTGTAAGTAAAATATTTATTACTTTTCATGACTGTTTTGATGCTGAAAACACATTTAAAACATTCATAATCAGTTGGATGGTGCTTTACATGACAAATCAGCTTAATTTCTTGCACAGTTGAATGTAGGTCTACACACACACACACACACACACACACACACACACACACACACACACACACACACACACATGCAGCTGAAATAAGACAATTTTTCCATTTCTCTATGTGGATGGAATTCCCTGTTGCATAAAGCCTCGATACCATGGGGTATGTACTGAAGTAAGAGTCTCGCTTCATTTGGAGGCAGCTCACTTTGGTGCAGCTTCTCCTCAGTGCATTCCACTCAGGGAGGATAAAAAAATGCCTTACTTATCATTTTCCAAAACCTTGTGGTCCAGTTTTGATACAGGCCTAACAGTAGCAAATTGTAGAAAGGAACGTGCTGAATCTGATTGCCGGAGCAGCTTGTAATTCAGTAATGGCTATTCTGAGACTGCATGCATGCACATACGAATACACAAAGAACTACACAGCTGTTCACTAAGTCCCTCTCATACTATTCCTTCTGCCTCTTGTGCTAGTTTCCCCATGCTCAGCTGAGTCATTCTGTCTTCTTTGCACACACACACACACACACACACACACACACACACACACACACACACACACACACACACACACACACACACACACGTTAATCCATGCAAAGGCACAAACAGGTGTTCTAGTCATCCATGCATTGATTTGTCACCCGTTTCATCACAATATGGCAGCATTTGAGTGAGTATAAAAGGTAAATGACAGTTTAAACATGTGCAATATCAGGTTATGCCCTTATGACATCATGGTCAAGAGTTACATTTAAAAAAAATCCTGGTTTTAGTCAGACTTTTATCTTCATTATTACGTAATCTGGTGTATATTTAATTTAAAAATGACACATTTTTGCATAAAAGCAAACAATAATTATTCAAAACCCTGATATATTTATGCAATAGAAAATTCTCCAAAAATGTATTATTTAAATTTATATTTGAGAAATTTATTTATTTAGGCCTTTTTTTAATTTTAAAATTAAATATAATATTTAAAGGGGCATTATGGAAGTTTGACAGCCAAAACATGTATAGAAATAATAAATTTCTTCTTCATACATTCTCCTGCAATGCCCTGGTCCTGTAGAATGAGCCCTGGCATTTTTATTGTGATTGCCTGTTTTTCTGTAAAATCACAGAAAAAGAGAGCTGCTCGGGTCGAGCAGGCTGCTTCATGTGCGTTCACGCTCAGGCATAGCCCGTAGCATTTGCTATCCGTAGCTTTAGCAGCAGAGAGTGAGGTAGTGCCAACTCAGCGACTTTGTTGCTGTTCCTAACACCTAGTGATGAACCTAGCTACATTTCTGAGGACCCTTAGCTACTTTCTTCTAGATATTTCCAGCAAATTAGCAACAAAATAGCCATTTTCGCTCCGGACCGTTCTTTGAACGTTGTTTCAGTTGTCAGCACGGATATAAATATTACAGATACAGATGATGTCACTGGTGCTAAAGCACACCTAGTAAGATGGCGGACTCTCGTGCGGAAGACCCGGGTTCGATTCTGGAAGTGAAAATGGTTTATTTAAAGTTTATTTTTTACATTAATGGTATATTTTTTTACAGTAAGATGCCCCAATTTTTTTTTTGAGACTCGCCGAGCGGCATTGAATTCACAGATAAAAAAAGATGTGGGTTCAACTTTCATTTTGGAACAATTTTTCAAGCAAGGGAAGGGAATGATCTGAGCATGCAGGAGGACTGACCCATCTTAAACCTTTGCTGAAGAGAAAGGTACAGAACCAAATTATTTAATTAATTAGCTGCGTGTTCTCCTGTCCTCTGTCCTCCGGGCCACACACACACACACACACACACACACACACACACACACACACACACACACACACACACACACACACACACACACACACACACGGGACTGTCTCAGATGTTATTTTCGTTAAGGAGTGTGCACGTACAGCATGCGCGCCTCATGCACGAGCCTACTATTGAAGCTGCCGTTACGCTTTTGGCCTGAGGGGGCAATCGTGAGCATAAAAATTCAAAACTCCGTAAAGTCCCTTTAAAGTGAACAAATGTCTTTGTTAAAGCGACGAAGTGTATTTTCCCTTGCAATAGGGGGCAGTAGATACCTAAATCATTGCAAGCAAGCGGTATTTTAGTGTTTGAGTAAGACCTTACCAACGGATGGCCATTAGGGTCAAATATCCCTGGGAGGGCAACCTCCAGCAAAAAGACAAGCACATCAGACTCCCTTTCATCACTGGCAACGAGTGAAGAGGTAAATGTGTAAAACAACAATGGTTATTAGTCGGGAAAGTTTTCTAACCATTAGTTACAAATCAGTAAATATATAATATATTTTGTCCTCACAGGCTCCTGTAGAAGGAAACACGGTGTCTAATACGGAGTCGCCCTGAAACTTAACCCCGCTCCCATGAATTTTAGACCCGATTTCATGGTTATATGTTACGAATCCGCCAATATTTTTCAACAACATATTGGATATTTCCAGAGATTAACTGAAAACTACACATTGTCTCTTTAATAAGTGCTTCCAGAGATCAGAAGCTGCAGTCTTTACCCACAATGCAACTCAACAACCGCTGGTGTGTATCGTTTTTTAGAATGCTTGAATACTTGAATCTTCAGTTACAGTTTGATGCTTAAATTTTATCTAAGGTTGAATACATTCTCTAAAAACAGATTTAATTACTTAATATTGAACAAAACCATAAATAGGAGCAAACACAATTAACACACAATGTTACAGAAATCATTTCCATTAGAAGTGACTGACTTTCTCACCTGACTTCCGTTTGCCGGCGCCACCAAAATCTCTGGAAAAGAAACAACACCAGAGCAGCATGGTCACATGTGAGTGTACATGAATGAGTCTGATTACAGCTGAATCTCTGCCCCAGACCTTTCAAACACAGTTGGCACACGACTACTAGCCGAACCCTGGTGGAGAATGCACACAGAACCTGACCCGCGACCAAAGGGGGGAGACTGGGTGGGACACATACTGATGAGTCCCACGTTGGGGAAGAGCAGGAATAAAACTCAGCCTTGGCTAATGTGTCCAGTAAATCTGTTCAGTTCCTCAACATCAGCGGTCTTTGTCTAGCAGAAAACCAGTTATTTACTTAACAACAGGATCATATCTCACAGTGAAGTCCTGGTCATGTTGAGATGTGAAAGGCGTCTTTCTGAAACCCAGACTGAAGCAAAACACTGAGAGGGACATCATTAGTGTCAAAGAACCTGCCCTGTGCATTGACCCACTCTCAGTCACAAAGCAGCCATTTTCCATTCACTTTTACTCAAATTAAAATCAGCATGTGTTTTTACGATAATAAAAGTTTTTTGAATGGTTAATTAAAAAAACACTGTAGCTGTAACCACGTAAAAGTAAAATGGCAAAGATGACAATGAAAATGTTTCAAGATGTGTACTCCGGTTTTTGTGATGAGTCATGAAGTTGCTGGAGTCCTGTTTTATACTAAGTAGTGGCACAGTCTTTCTAGATATTTTCAGTCTGGAGCTCTATTTCCTTTTTTTTTTGCAAATAAATGATCATTTTAGTAATGTATTATATGTTTTAATGGTCAAAATCTTCAAAAGATTTTCATGTTCTTGCATTCTGCCAAATAAATAATAGATTAGTTTGAATGTGGAATAAAATCAATCAGAAACTCAAAATTAATGCGAGATGAATTCATCACGAGTTACTCATTAAGGTGCTGTCAGTTTAATACGGGAGATCGTTCTTCATCGTCTGTCCTGCAGACATGTAAATGAAGACACTTCAGAAGGAGGAAATGAGTAAATATTTCTAACCGCAAGACCATTTTTAGGAAGCGTGGGTTGACTGCTTGTCCTCATTTAGGTAACTGAGCCAGAGAAGACTGATGAGGAGCCAAGCTTTGACACAGATGGAAACAGACACCTGGCTCTCCGGAGAGGCCAGCAGCAGGACCGGAGCCACGGCCAGTCGTGGATATGAGAGCATGAATGGATGAATCTTGTCCAACATTTTCGAACTCACAATCTGCTCATCAGGAAAACTTCTGATGGATATTTTACAAAATGTTATGCCAATTTTTTATCCTGCAGTGCTAATAGGCATGTTTCATGTTTAGCTTTTGCGTTTAAAAGACAATTTCACCATGAAAACATGACCACCGTCTACGATATTTAATAAGTAAATAAACAGGGTGAATCTTTTTGTGACATTTAATTGTAAAAGTCATATTTTTGTCATGAATATGGGTTGCAGTGTGGAACCTGGGTAACTCAAATGGACCAAGGTATGTGTGTGTGTGTGTGTGTGTGTGTGTGTGTGTGTGTGTGTGTGTGTGTGTGTGTGTGTGTGTGTGTGTGTGTGTGTGTGTGTGTGTGTGTGTGTGTGTGTGTGGCACAGACAATAAAGTTTGCAGCCATACTCTGTTATCATTCATAGTCTGGATATTCCCATTAATTTGTTGTTTTCCTTTTGTAGTCCAACAAGGACGTTAGCGTTAGCTCTGGCTAGCATAAACTCAAACTAGCATTAGCAGTAGCTCAGCCTAGAGCTGAAAGTTGCTCGGGGCTAGTGCTCTCAAGCTTGTGATGTGTTAAACCATCTTTTCCCAGAATGAACCCTTTCTCCACGGCCCTCATAACATTACAAAATTGGATATGAAAGCAGGTCGAAGGTGCTACAGGATTTTTGGTTCGCTACATTCGACACCTCAAGCTGCTTAACAGCAACAATGTTAAGAAGGCTTACTCATCAAGTTCCTTGAGTTCCAGACTGTTGCTGATGGTGATTGGAGACACCTGGGTCCCGGTGTCGGTCCTCTCATTTAAGAGCTCCACTTCACCTGTAGTTATTGGGGGAGAGAGAGCTTCTCTTCCCTGCGTGTGGTTACAGTTAGTTGTTTGTAAGGTGTGGGAGCTTTGGCACCATGCTTATTTGCTTTTGTGTTATATTGTTTAACAAAATCCTTTTGAACTTCAATTATGGCGTCTCATCCTTTGTTGTTTCTTTTTGTGGCCCAACAATCATGGTCATAACAAGTAGGGGCTCATCTGGGACCAGACACCATTTGCCAAAGGTAAATAATTTTGCTTTGCATGATGGTCTAGCAATGTTCTATTGGAACCTCCTCAGCATTGTTTTGCATCTTCTTTGACAAATGTCACTGACCGACATCCGTAGCGGTGAGTACATCTCGCTGGTTGTTATCCAATGGCATGTGATGACAGTTTGCTAAACAACTGTAGACCCCGCCCCACAACAGAGAACCATCAAAAAACCATGGCCAGGCTATGTATTTACATATGTAGGATGGTTAAGAGTTTATGGGGCAGCTGCAACAGAAGCATGAAAAATAAGTTTAACTTTGAAAGTTCCTATTTGAATTTTATAATGTTTTTAATTACATGTGTAAAATCAGCTTAAGCTGGTTCAAATTTAAATGGATAATATGGAGTTTTGGCTTGCTTTTAGCACCCCCTAGAGTCAGCTATTTATTTACTGTTATAAAAGAACATGTGAAACGTATTTACTTGCTGTGCATTCGTCTTTTTAACGCCTTAATCTAACTGCTGAAATAACTGCTTAGCCTTCATTAGTGTCTACAGCAGTGGCTCATCACTAAATCAAACAATTCAGCTCTGTTCATGATCTAAAACATGCTGGAAGCACACTCCAAGACTAAAGTGTGACTAACAGGTAGTGGCCCACCAACTCTGAAGTTACATGTGCGGTATTCTGACCACAGGGGGCAGTCGGGTCAGGGTGACTTTTTATTAAGGGTCATTTTAGCACATACTAGCTCAAGAAAATGATTTTAATATTTGAAAAAGTTACATAGTATGCCTTAATACTATAATTTAAGGAAAGACTTGATGCTCACGCTTTTCTCTTCACATTATTAGATGTTGACTGTTTAGCTGTTAAGAATACAATGTGAATTGTGTGTTTTTTGCTCCAGCCTGACTGGGTGGAGATGAAAACTGAGGCTCGGGGAGAAATAATGAGGATAAAGTAAATGCTTGACCTGCCGTGCTTGCTCGTGACCCTCAGCACAAACCCAGAGGTGGAGTTATATTCCTCCCAGGAGGAGACTGAGCACACAGCTCTGGCTCTGTACACTCCCCTCCTGTCACCAGTAAAATCCGATGTTTAGGGCCATTTTGGGGGTGGGGGGGGATTTAACATCTAGTTAAGAAAAGTTGTCTTAGTTTCACCAAGTAGGTCCAAGTCAGAGGTGGAAAATAGTATGTCACTTAAAATTCAAATCAAAGGATCCTTTATAATCATGGGAGTTTGCTCTGGAACTCTCTGTAGGTGGGCCTGGTAGTGAAGAAATGTGTGCAGTACTAGTTCTCCTCACACTTTTGCAGCCAGCCAGGAGGACAGCCATCTCCGTCCTGCTTTGTGTCCACATTACAGAGACACTTGGATTAACCTCTGGCTCTGAGGTCAAAGGCTTAGCATCATCACTGTAATAAAGCAAAGGTTCCACGCGTGCATGGAAGATGTGCGGTAGGTTTGTGTGAAAGGTAATGTGTGCACAAACAAACCCAGTAACCTTGAGTACGCTTTCTCAAATTTGCAGCAAGACTTGGCCATGATTGGACACTGATGTCAGTGTCAAAGAACGCTTGTTTGACCAAATACCAACCACTAATCACTTAGCTTGTGCTAAAACACTGAGCTCGCATTACACTAAAGGTTGCAAAAGAAAAAGCTCTGCAGAAAAACTACACGGCAACTCATAGTTTAAAATAGATTAGTCGTTAATGTGCATTAGTTTGTTTCAATGCATTTGATATTATTTAATATGAAATGTAGTTTTTATGTTAAGACTTGAGGAAAAATACTTTGCCTTGGATAAAGTTGAGGTTAGACAAGCAATTGTAAAAATCAGGTTAAATAAACTGGTTAATAAAATGCTTGTAAGGTGTCCGATTTTGCACGAAAAGAGTCGATTTTTTTTAATTTTTAAAACAAGATACATTGAAAAAATTCAAGTTTCGCTTCAGGTTAGATAGTAAGTGGATAATAGAATAATAATTGAATCAATAAAAAGATGAAGTCAAGGAACTGTTGCTTTAATTATGATGTTTATTCCCATTTTGTTTGCTGGCTAAATTTGTTTTATTTCAGTTTTGTTTGGCATTAAAAGTTTGATTTATTGTGAAGGGTGGATAATAATAATAATAATAATAATAATAATAATAATAATAGACACCGAGGCTACGCAGTGGCGCAGTGGTTAGAGCTCTTGCCTTCCTGGGCTAAGATCTTTCTGCATGGAGTTTGCATGTTCTCCCTGTGCATGTGTGGGTTCTCTCCGGGTACTCCGGCTTCCTCCCACAGTCCAAAAACATTACTGTTAGGTTAATTGCTCTGTCCAAATTGTGTGTGTGTGTGTGTGTGTGTGTGTGTGTGTGTGTGTGTGTGTGTGTGTGTGTGTGTGTGTGTGTGTGTGTGTGTGTGTGTGTGTGTGTGTGTGTGTGTGTGTGTGTGTGTGTGTGTGTGTGTGTGTGTGTGTGTGTGTGTGTGTGTGTGTGTGTGTGTGTGTGTGTGTGCGCATAAATGTTTGTCCTGTATGTCTCTGTGTTGCCCTGCGGTGGACTGGCACTCTGTCCAGGGTGTACCCCGCCTGATTGCTGATTGCCCCATTGACCGCTGGAGATAGGCACCAGCCCCCTCACCAGACCCTACGTGGACAAGCGGGTTCAGGAAACGGATGGATGGATAATAGACACCACCTTAAGAAGGTAGAAATTCCAGATGAAACAAACCCCCAGCCTTTTTACAAGCTTGCAGAAAGGCTCCCTCTTGTGGTGAAATTGTGTTAAAACAAGTGATCTGAATTCTTTGCAAACCTGTTATGAACATTAGATGGCAGTGTTGGATGAGGGCTGATAAAACAAGACTGTTTCATTCTAGTCAGAAAAGCTCTTCTGTCATTTCTTATCAGTCATGTGCATCAGCAGGCATGCCGGCAATTTTTTTGTTTGTTTTGTTTATTTAGAAACTGAGCTCACCTCTAGGCCTTTTGGCACATAAAGATGAGATTTCCAGGGGAGTGATTTTGAAACAGTGCAGATCCAGTGGAAGTGAATGGGAGTGTACGGGTAGTGCGGCCTTTAGACCTCAGCCTATCCGTTTAGGCTGCACCGGATTGTCTCACTGCAGGAGACTCAATTGGAAGTGGGATTAACTTGAATGAGTATTGGAGGTTAAAAGTTGTGTCTTTTTTTCTTACGTAAAAGCCAGATGGATATCTTCAAGAATTTGCATTTTACTGAGCAAAAAAAAATTCTTCATGCACAGGTCAAACCAAGCACAGAATGTCTGCTGAAACCTGCTGTGGGTCTGCCAGTTGCGTAATGACTCCTACTCTCACTTTGAACCGATTAAGATGAATGACTCAGCTGACAGCCTTTTCCACCATGAGACTTGAACCCGCTGAACTTCCATGACACCACTGATCCTTCCTCATTAGCTCTGGCTTCTCATGTCACAAGACCATTATTTTCAAAAACACAGTAACTCACAAGACTATCAATCTTCAAAGCAACGCTATCAAAGATTGACATGAAATGATCCGGCTGCTGAAGCACACAAACACACAACAGCAGAGTTTAATATCTTATAGCTCTGCTTAAGAAGAGTTTTCTCTTGGACAATTTAGTTCGGTTACTCACTCAGTGGGAGGGTTAAGGTCTTCGGATTTTGTTTCAAAGAAGTTAAGGACCTCCTCGCTTTGACAGATTTGGGAGGGGAGTTTCATCAGAGCCTGTGAGGAAGAAGGGAGAGATAATGCTACTGGTTGCATTCAGATATCAACCATTTGTTTCAATGTAGCTGCGCCTTCCTGCTGATCAGAGGACCAGCAGGAGATGTGCAGTTGTGAAGAGACGAGAGGCTTGTGATCTTGGGACAACACACTCAAAAAGTAAACACACCTACTTAAAAAGGTAAAGGGTTCCAGGTAACATTAGCTTCTGGTGAATGGCAAAAAGGTTGTAACTAACCTGCCTGCATTCCTTTCAACCACTTTTTTTTCATAACCACACCACACTGCTGATTCATTCTCATTCTCTCATGCCCCAGATCCCTCGTTTCCTTTTGCGGCTGCATATTTACATCACTGACAGGACGTGACCGCTGCAGAAAGAGGACTGGCTTTCCTGTTTCAGGCTGGTGGGGGGAGATAAACGCCAAGGCCTGCCTTGAACTTATAAAGGGAAACCTCTGGCAAGCAAAAAAGGGCCCTTCCATCCAGGACATTCTGAGGTCTCAGCACAAAGGGCTGCACAAAAATAATAAAAAAAATACTAATTTGTCAAATATTATCCATCCTTACTTTGCAGTAATTGTCCAGGTGCTTCAGTCTTCTGACCGCTACATCTCTGATGTGACTGCGGCGAAACAAGACTTTACCTGAAAAGGGATAAAACATACATGTAGACACATTTTCGGGTGAATTGTTACTGATAAGTTCAGTTATAAGCCTGTATCTACATTTTTCTCCAACAGCTCTACTGTTTTCTGTCTTAAACACACTGAGAACGACAGAAGTGTTTCGGGGTTTTTTTTAAATAAAAATGTTGCTATTTCAGAGATTTTCTGAAAAAGAAACAAGTTTCCCCTAAGTTTCAAAGGATTTTATTGAGTTGCATTAAACTTGTATATCAGGGGTAATGTAGGCCTAAACATCTAAACTTGTTGTCAAACAACTTCTGGGCCAAAGTAAATGCTCAGAGGCTCTAAAGGGGATTCAATGTCTGGAGAGTATCCTAGAACTGGACACGAGATGTCATTGCTTCGTTTGCAAAGCCACTTGTGTAGGTGTGTTTTCTTTTGCCTTTTAGTGCTCCGTCAAGCTGAAAAAGGTCTTGCTCGTCCCCAGATTGTTCTTTATTGGTTGGGAGGTTTTCCTCTGGGGGACTGTGTTCTGCTTCAGGCTGAAGCTACGCCCTTGAATGATCTCAGGATGCTTTACTGTTGGCAGGACATAGGTCTAATGGGAGACCTCACCTTTTCTTCTGCAAACAATCCTTTCTCCAGATGCTCCAAATCAGCTGGAAAGTTGGATCTTTTAGAGAAAATCAATTGGTCAAAAATGTTTTTCTTGGAGAGGAAGGGCTTCTCTGCTGCCTTTCCTGACACCAGACCATCCTCTAATAGTCTTCATCTCACTGTGCAACCACACTTTTTAGATGTTTCATTGTGCTTGTGCCCCTTAAAGGAGCCAACTTTGGGACAGTTAATGTTTTCATTCTCAAATGCTTTGGCCAAAGGTGTACAGCTCTCCTCATGCTGGGTTTACAAGACAAAAACAGCACCAGACCAGGCTCGAGTCACAAAGCTCGTCTGACAAAGGATCTCTTCACTCCTTTTATCAGATAAGACCATTTCTGCTCTGCTGAGTTCCTATTGACATGGCTAACCCCAAACTGATTTGGCCTGGGAGGAGTTTGGAAGTTGATAAAACGGTGGAATGCAGTAGGCCACGCTATGGAGCGTGTGGGAGGACCAACAAACAACAGCTTCTAAATGCAAAGCCGAGCAGGAATTTGGAAAAACTCTGGTTAAACCTCAAACAGATGGGAACACCAATACTGGAAGGCTTCATGTGGTTCCACTTATCACCTGGCAAAAAGGGGATGATTCTCTTTTTGGGGTCCTTTTGTCCTCCCTCAATTGGGAATTTGTCGAGGATTCGCATCTGTGAAGGATCCAAAAGACAGTAAGGGTTACAAACAGCAAAACGTCAGACTTGTCATCCATCCGTTAAGTAGAAGTTCATATGCAGCGTATCCTGTTGATGGGTAGGTTTTTACAGAGCTCACAATGACACTGCAAAAACTGATTATAGAAAATGGTAAATGGCCTCTATTTGTATAGCGCCTTCTTAGAGTTCTACAACCCCCAAAGCGCTTCACAACACAATCAGCCATTCACCAATTCACTTGCTGGTGGGGATGAGCTACAATGTAGCCACAGCTGCCCTGGAGCGCACTGACAGAGGCGAGATCTGCCATATGCTGGTGCCACCGGTCCCTCCGACCACCACCACCAGCCAAGGCGGGTTAAGTGTCTTGTCCAAGGACACAGCAGCAGCATTCTCTGTGGGAGCTGGGATCGAACCTGCAACCTTCCAATTACTGGACAACCTCCTCCACCTCTTGAGCTATTGTTGCCCTTTAAAAAAACAGGAAATGTGCAAAAGCTAAATCTTTAGACCTTTTATTTTAAAATACTCTGTTAGATTTATTAAGAACTCTAGCCAAACAACTTAACCTATTGGCAGATTTTGTACTCAATACCAGAATATTTGGATCACATTTAAGAATATTTACCTTATTTTAAAGGGGAACTAGGCAGTTTTGACTTGCTTTTACCACCCCCTAGTGTCCATTAAGCCGGGCGTACACTGTGTGACTTTTTCACTTTTTTGAGCCGATTTTCCACTCGTGCGAGAATCCACGAGCTCGGGTCGAGTTTTGCGCCTAGCGTCGTGTAGTGTACAGGGGGTTACGAGAGGCGATTAACACCACGTGACCAGCTACCGATCAGCAATCGTGAGCTCGCACGGACTTCTGGCGTGTTTAATATTTTGCTCGTCCCTCATGAGGGTATCACACTGTTGAAGCGGCGCTGCGAGCAGCTGCGACCCAAAAAGTATCAGAACCGCTCACGGCGCATGCGCAATCCTGCATCAACGCCGCTCGCTCGCTATTTCCCTAATAACACACGCTGTTCGTTTTTGTTTCTACACGTTTTTTTACTCACACAAAGATTGTCAAGAAAGCGTTTGTCGTGTTCATGTCAAATTAAACTGATCACAAAACACAGATTTACTTTATTTCGTTTTCCTCATCCAACCCCATAAATCCCTGTGTGTCCTCCTGCAGCACTCCCGAAGGACAACAGGCAAAACAAGACAAAAACGTCTGACGTGTTGAGTAAAAACTGCTATTTTTAGCATATTTTTAGGTTCGACGTGTTGCTACCAGACGTACAGTGTGAGCAGCCAGGTCGCATCCGAGAACTGGGTCGTGCAGTGTGAGCACATGACTCGTGAGATCTGCCCTGCGAGGAAGTCGTACAGTTTGAGCTGAAGCTGAGTGCTACGAGTGAAAAAGTCGCACAGTGTACGCCCGGCTTTAGTCAAAGCATAACTTTTGCTGTGCGTTTGTCTCTTTAACACCTTAATCTAACGGCTGAAATGTCTCCCCAGCCTTCCTTAGTGTCTAAAGTAGGGATTCATCACTAAATCAATCAATTCAGCTGTGTTCATGATATGAAACATGCAGGAAACATGCTGGAAGCAGACTGCTGCACCAGGTATGTCAGCTCCACTTTACTAAGTCCAACAGGGACTGGACCGGCACCCTTAAGTTGCAAGTGTGGTATTCTGGCCACAGAGGTTGGTGGGAACTGGGTGGCCTTTCATTAACCCTGTAGAGAGTCATTTTAGCAAATAATGGCTCAAGAAAATGATTTAAAAATATAAAAAAGATGCAAAGTACACCTTTAAAGTTATGTAGTTTTTCTAAATAAGAATTAGTTTTCTTTTTAGACTAAAAATGAGATAAAATGTCTAAAAATGTGTCTAATTCCTTTCTTAGAAAGTAGTTTTTGCAGTGCAGACACTGGGGAACTACCAGGTTTCCCTTTTCAATAAATCACACCCAGAAAGTATCAACAATACACAGACAGTAAGACAATTCCAGATGTAGCCCTGCCTTTCGAACCTCTTTCTTACATTCTGCTTTATTTTGTTCTAGATGTGTTCTTGTCAAAAAGTAATCGAGCATCAAACTGAAACAAAATGAACTACGAGGAAGGGACCGCCTCCGTCTAAGGTGGAGACACAGACTGGAGCTGCAGCTGGATCCAGTCGGTCTGGGCCAGTAGGAGTTGTTTGCAGGACTTCTGGAAGAGGTGGTTTGGTGTCCCACTTTGCAGCTCTGTAGGGTATTTTTCCAAACTCCTCTGCTAGTTTTGCTAAATGTCAGAGTTTCTCACAGAGCATGGCATTTCCTTCTCCTCTGAACTATAGACAGCCAAAGGAAAGTGAGTTCCCTTGAAAAAAAAGATGGTTATCATCAGGAACGAAAAAGGGCTGAGCGTAGTGAATAATCTTAGTAAACCACACCTAAACTCATGCAGGGTGACAAATTCAATCTTAAGATAAAAGTTTCTGCTCTTAAAATTTTGTCAAACAGAAAAATACAAGAGGTTCATAGGAAAGGATAAAGGTTTTCAACTTTCCTATGATGCATAAAGCTGCACACTCAGCTTCACAGCTGGAATTAGCAACACACACACCCTTAGATGCAAAAGTTCACACGGCGCTAACAGAAACGCTTCATCCTCCTAGGACCTCCCTGGATTTGACCACAGACCCACAAGGCAGGTGTGAACGTCGTTTGTGCAGCAACTGCCTCATAACTTGGAACAAAACGTATTAAAAATAAACATTTTTATGTGTCGTATATCTTTCATCTATTGAACTCAGAGAGGAGAAAATGTAACTAAGTCATATTTATTTCCCTGATTACATCCAGAAAAGTTTGATGTATTAACCCCTCAATTTTCCTACTGGGAAAAAAGAAACTCACATAGCAACAGGTGTTCCGATGTGTTCACCTCCTCATCTTATCCAATCATAACAATCAGGGCTAAAATGACACTGCTTACTGGAAACTCACATGAGCAAGTGACAAACAAACAAACAAACAAAGATTGCAAAGAACAAAGTGTTCTGAAAGAATTCTGAGAAAGGAGGAGTAGGAATGTTAGAGGGGAAATGCCTCTGATTTCATCTCTATCTTGCCATCTGACACCTACTCGGTGGTTGTTTATTGCAGAGAGATATGCAGCAGCTCTGCCAAGATTTAGCTGAAGAGAATCATCTATTGTTACAAAAACTATGATGGTATGTCGGGATAATTACGTTTAATTGTGGATAAATTTGATGTAAACTTCAAAACAATCAGCTTCATCACTTAAGAGTGACAAAACATTTTCTGCAATTAGTTTTGCAGATTTGCTCCAGACTGCATCTGTTGAGGCTTCAGAGAATGAGCTGGTGACAGATTGAAGGAAAATTAGAATTTAAAGGTTTTTTTTCTAAACAGGGAAGAAGGAGTTTTTGTGGAAAACCATGTTGCTCAACTTTCTCAATAGCAGATCCTCTCCTCACAAACCCAAAGTTCTGCCTCAGCAGATTTGCTGTGAGGTTAATATAAGTCCACTCCAGTAATCCAGCTCAAGGCAACATGGTTTAAGGAAAAAATTTGCATTCTAAAAGTTTCACCTTGAAACCAGGATTGGAGGTTTAGGGGAACTGAGCATCCAGAACGCTGACTGGCCAGGCAAGAGAATTTTAAAGCTTTGTACATTAAACACAATTTCACAACCAACACACCTTTTTTTTTTTTTTACAAAGCAAGATTTTATGGATTCTGCTATTAGTGTAGAATTATTTAGTCCAGGTTTGAAGAGTCTATGTGTTGGAGTTTTAATATAAGAGTAGATTAAAGATGCCCAAGGTGCGGTCATCCCAGTCAGGAAAAGACCACAGACTTGGTAACCGAGCACTATTTATTTAGCACCTCAAAGCCTTGAACATTACAACCTCCTTACTTGCCACAGAACTCCTCATTTTGGTCTCCTAGCTTCTTCCAGAACCTTCTCTCCTATAACCAGAGCAGACCAATCACAATACACAGACCCAGTACATGGTTCCCCCTAGCGTATAAATCAGGTTACAGCACTCCTCCCCCATAAAGTTCAAAACAGACCTTTCATATTCAGTCTCTCTGGTGGTTTACGAGTGCGTTGAGATCTACAAACCATGCTTGGTATCTCATCTTGTACCTCTTTTTCTGGTGTCACTGGAAATGCCCTTGATATCTCCACCTCTGTTGACTTCCCAGCGATGTCCTCTTGTCCACCCATCTCAGATATGTTCTCTTCTTGAACCACTTCCAGCTCAGAAGAATCTGTCTGCCTCATAGATGCTGGATACAGTTCCAGAACATTGGACAATGGTATGTAGGATACATTTAAACCCCCAACTGGTCTGAGACAAACATGATCCTGATGTTGTCTAATCACACTTACTGTTTCCAACTTAACAACAAAAGATATAGGACCTGTCTGTTCTTGGATCACCCCTGGTAACCACAAATCTTTTGATTTGGAACTGAAGTTTCTTACAAAAACCTGTACTACTGGACCCAACTTTCTCTCGTTTGCATGTAAATCATGACGTTCTTTTTGTTTCTCTTGTTTTGCTATTACTCTCGCCCTCATATCTGGACATAGCAAATCCAGCTTTGACTTAGGTCTACGCCCAAACAACAACTCAGCTGGTCTCTCTCCTGTAGTTGTTGGTGGCGTCAAGCGGTACTTAAACAATAATCTAGACAGTTTAGTACTCAAAAAATCTCCTACCATTCTCTTTAACCCTTCTTTCACTGTCTGAACCGCTCTCTCAGCCATTCCATTTGAGGATGGATGAAAAGGAGAAGTGCGAATGTGTCGGATGCCATTCTGGTCTATGAACTCCTTAAACAGTTCACTCGTGAAGGTAGAACAATTATCTGTTACTAACACATCTGGCAAACCATGAACAGCAAAAATCTGTCTCAGCTTCTCTATTGTAGCACAAGCTGTGATGTTGCTCATAATGTGACACTCGATCCATTTTGA